CCTTCTCTCTACTCTGCATAAAACACGAACACTAAACTCTTTGACTCTTTGACTCTTTGACTCTTTTTGAGTCAAAGAGTCAAAGGAGCGCTGAGACTTCTCGACTTTCTTGGTGGAAAGAACGAAAATGGAATTCGAATTTAAACTTCAAAATTTGAATTGAATTGAAAAAAAAAAAAAAAGATATAACGTCATATAAGTTGAAGGAAACTGACTGAACAGTGGTGTTTCAAAGTTTGAGCCAACGACATCATCCAGAAGAGAAAAGGAATGATGTCTACCGTCTTCACCCGAATAAAAAGCCCGGTCATTACAGCTGTATCTGGAGTGAAACGTGCACCAAACACAGCTTCAATGACCGGGCGTTTGTTTTATTCGGGTGAAGACGGTAGACATCATTCCTTTACCCCTTTCAACTACAAGTGCTACATAATTTTTTTCAGGGTGTGTTCTCTCCAGACCAGCAGGTTTGGTACGGTCGCTGCTTTATGTCTGGTATCATCGCTGGTTTGATTCACCTCTTTGGATCTAATAGCCCCCCAATGATATGTCTGGTAATAAGCAACCGCACAGGTCCCCCCAAGAATATAAACTATTATAAAGACATCTTAAAAAAAAAAAAAAAAAAAAAAAACAACAAAACCTACCGCTGCTGGTTTAGGGTTTAGGGTTCTTTGGATGCAAAAAGGAGAAAGCCTGATGGCTGCCAAAACGGACGGACAGCAACCGTACCAAACCCATAACGCCTGATCTGGAAGAGCAGGGGTTACGAGGAGTTTGGTGATACCAGAGGGTAGTAGGTTCGGTAAGACCAAAGGTTAAGTTCGTAAGACCAAAGGTTAGGTTCGTAAGACCAAAAGGTTAGGTTCGGTGATACTGGTTAAACCACCAGTTAAGCACACCCCGGCCTCGAGGCGCCTTACTGCGCGCCAAGCTTTTCCGAACCGCCGCCAGAGGCGCACTTTCATTCTTCTTTGGCTGGCGCCGCCAGCCATTGTGGTCCGGTAGGCCGAGCCTCCGAAACCTTTCGTAAGCGACGAGTTTCATTTTTTCAGCAAGGCTGGGGCAGTATACTGGCAATTTAAGGCCTGGTCAGTATACTGCCCCGCGAGGAAACCCAAATTCATGAGATTAAACCCAAACCCGTGAGGAAAACCCACGGAGAAGAAGAAGAGAAGTCAGACCAAACCTATGATTAGGCCTACCCTCTTACCCGAATAGAATGCCCAGTCATTATCGCTGAATTTGGGCCAACTGCCAGTCTAAATACAGCGATAATGACCGGGCGTTCTATTCGGGTGAAGAAAGTTTTAGAGCACGAAGTTTGGGATGGCGAGACTGAGAGCCTGGAAGGACATCCATACCTCCTTACCTGAACCAAACAAAT